TCTATTGCGACTTTGCAATTTCAAAACGGTAGCGTCACTTTGACATGTGAAAATGGCGCCAAAATAGATCAGTGTTGCCAAGTTAAAAAATCTTACAAAATAGATAGGGAACGGAAATAATATGTAAAACAGAAAATCATTTTTAAATGACTAACAACTTACGATATATGTATTATTAATTTAAATTACTTTACGAAGAGCAAAACACAGAGAACAAGAATGACAAATATATTACAATGGTGAGAACTGTGGCTTCTAATTATTGTTTTAAATCAGACGTAAACTATACTAAAATGACTGTATTTGAAAGTTGCCATGTATGAATTGAACGCTATGATTATAATTTATATTAAAACTGCAAAGCTTTATGCACACACATGGAAACACTGATATATGTCAAACGAGCAAACATGGCCGCACGCCCCAAGCGGCGAGTTCGCCCTACATTAAACAAGTAAATCACATATTTCCACTTATCAACAAGTGTTTGTAATTTTATCACGAATATCAACGTTTAAAATACAAATACCAACTCACTACTGAATACACCGAATTCTAATATACAAAAATATCTTGTACGCGGATTGTATAACATGTTCAAGATGGCGCCGACGCCTCGCTCGCAGCGCCTCTAGCGGCCATACCACACGCCGGGCGGCGGCGCGCAATCACTACTAGTAATAAGAATAAAGTTATTGCTTTCGATTAGTTATACTTAACACCTCTATAATATACTGTATGTAAAATTTCAAAATCACTACGTCCACTACGTCACTACTCTAGCGTCTGCCGCACGTGTCAAATACACAACGTTGTATTTACTTTTAAACATTACCTTTATATTATACCAATCCAAAAGTTGTATAATCCATGTATATTAATCTTATTTATAGTCGAGAATATATTAACCTTTTGTCGTATTGGTCCAGAGAGCCTGGAATTGCGAAGCTATGGAGTGACTCTACTCATGTCGCTGTGCTGTGGAGTTGTGTATGGCACATATAACTACAAGCCGTTAAATTAACTACGAGGCAAGAATGAGTATTGAGCAAGATTAGGGTTCGCAGTTACACCTTCTCATCGTAACACTCAACAAATATCTTAAGTAAAAAATGACTAGAGAGGAATGTATGTTGTAAAATGGCATCACGTAATAATATCTTTTTCAACGTCCGAGTTGGCAACGTCCCCTTTTTTTTTAAATTATTGTCTTATCCTTAAACTACACCAGCGAGAAAGCGGTCGTTTTTGGCAATCATAGATTAAAAATGTCACCTCACAGATTAACACGAAACAGTAACTTTTTAGAGACGTGTTTACATGGGCTCCAAAACGACACGCGGAATCATTCGAAAAAATCTAGAATCGATTGAGCAAACGAATTAGTTTTGGCTAGATATTTTTGGCAAATTAATTTCGTAAGACTTTAAACGTTAAACGAGGAAGACTGGAGGCCTTAAGCCAAGCGTTACTACGTGGTCTAACTCTACGTGTCTACATCAATAATATTACTTTCAAAGATATACTGCAAATTGCCGAGATTAGAAAACCGACCTTGGGAATGAATCGTTTTTGAAGGAAAGGTTTTTCAATCGTTTTAAAGGTCGCGTATGAGGGTAGTCTCAAAAACGGTGCATCCCAATGTTCAGTTACTCCAATTTCGATCAAAGTAAAATCTTGGAAAGCAATATTGTAATAGCACGTTTCACAACCAATGTGTGGCGAACGCCCGTTGAATTGACAGTGAATGTGGAAGAAACTCGTTCGGTATCGTTTACGTACAAGTACATGCCAACCATGCCGTATAACTCCGTGAGACCGAGTCAAGTGAGAGTCGAGTGTTAGTCACGAATATACAAGACGCGTTAATCTACGATATATATATATATATATATATTATTACATAATCATAAATATATGCATGCCTCAATGTTCTCTACTCTGCCGACTTACCTAGAGGTGCCGTCGCATGCCCCACCCGCCCCATACTTACCAGCGTTTGGCAATCACGCAACACAATCTACGCGGCAAAGGATAACTCGACGTGCAAACTAAGTATACAACAGCATGTCGTGAAGGAAACAACCACACCCCGTCACAAAAGGATTCTAACCCCGCTGTCGGAGCCAAGCGAAATAAAACACACGATATATTGTTCTAATATTAATAATGTAATGACACATCGGGTATCGCTAAGTGAACCATTACATACATTATGTACGGGCAATCACTAAATACAAAATAACTACGTCTAGCCTACCCCGCCGGCGTCAGTCCCACAAACATTAAATAAAAAAACAAACAATCTCTTTCAATCATAAGAGCGACGGACGCCGGCGAAAATCAACGTTACCAATGTAACTAATACAAGTGTTTTAGAGAGAAAAAAAATAAAAATATGTTCTCATAACATCAGCGCAAAATCGCTCCAGGCCGGTGTGACTTCGCGCTGGTATACATATAATAAAAAATTAAGTACACATTTTAAATATGAGCTGCTTCTGCTGCTGCCCCCGGACATAATGTCCGACGGCCGCCAGCAAATGGGTTACCAAATAAGATACAACACAATAATATCAACCATCTAATACTGAGAATTTTAGGAAAAATGCTAATATACAAAAGATGTTATAATCGGGCGTCGCGATTGCCGAGTTTTTGTACATCAAATTCAAGTACTTTCATTTTGGCAAGAGGTCAAAGGAATCAGGAATCACGAGGACGAGGAATTTGCAATAAATTGCATTTCCTCCATGTTTAAACAAGTTGTGGCATTAAGCTGAGTTCGATATGAAAAACACGGCAATCGCAAATAATCTCAGGAGGTTCTAACCTACTTATATTAAGAATACTGCTATTATAAGGATAGGTAAGTGTACACATGTGGTTCAGCATTCGGTAGCCTTGTTGTGTGGAAACAAGAATTGAATAAACTGTAAAAACACTGGGTCAATTGAAACTTTACTACTTCAATAAGTATTCTTTTAAATGTATATATTTATGATGAATTTATAGGAAAAGATAAAAGATTAGTTATGTTTCCACACCACAAGGTTACAAGGTGTGTGCCGGCCGACGTGGGAATGAGGCCGGCGAAGCTACCGCATGCATTTAGCTCTACTGTCTCCGCGTCACTTTGCCTGCTTTTTGCCAAATATATATAGATAATAGATGCCATAAAAACTCCATATGAGCCACGTAATAATCAATAAATTTATAGGAGGGACAAAAAAAAGTCTTATAAAAATTCAGGATTTTGAGTTTGCCATTAGGCTTAAAGAACGCCCTTTACAAATTTCAAAGACAACCCTGCTTATTATTTAATTAAGAAATAATATTATTTCAAATATTATTATCGAAATATGAGCAATTTTAAGTTTTAAAATGTAAGATATGCATCGAAATGTCATATTGTCAAAGTTAAGTACCAAGTAAATGAAATTATCGGAAGATTTTTTTTTTTAAGTACAAGACTAAATTAAGTACATCGGAGACCCGAAAATTTACTACGAAATATTCAATAATACTGTAAGGACCTTGTCCGAGAGAATTTCGACTTAAATCTACAAATTGCACGAACACAACCATAAAACGTCTTTTATTCATAATAATAATAATATAATACTTGTCTAATCACAGTGTGTAAGTAATAAGTATTGCTTTTAAGTGTATATCATATAATTACATCTAACACTACGTTGATTATAATAAATTATATGAGTAAAGAGAGCTTAGGCTTTGCGATTCAATTATTTACCAATCAAACTTGTATAAAGTCAATTAGCGTCTACAGTTGGCACTTTTTTATACATGCAATGAACCCAAACAGAGGCAGATAATCTAAAACCCAACATACCAATTATACAAAGCTAAACTACAATACAAAGTATAAAATTTGACGCCCATATTGATGCTTGGATTGGGATTGGGTGCCAGGCAAAGTGACGCGATATGCTACAGCGGCTTTTACTTAGCTTATTGTCACTAGACAGTGTTAGTTTGCATTCCCTCAACAGCTATACTAATAAGTAAATACTAAATCCCGTCCACTTCGACTCGCTAACTCTCGCTAATTAGCCTCTTATGATACTTTATTAAAGTACCCACATTTTGAAATTTGTTTACTCACGATTCGTTGAATGCGAAAGTCAACGAGTCGATATAGGACAGTGATAATTTAAAACTACCAAGTCATAAATAATGCTTTATGAGATTGCTTTCCACTCGAGTTAGATATGTATGGGGAGTATCGTGACCTGACTGACCCTCATCTGCCGCGTGACGCCTCAATTGATAATTTTCATACACTTTTAGGAATAACATCGAGTGTTTTAGAGTTTAATTTCATTTAATCCATCCAAATAGTTAAAAGGTATTCAGAAATGGGGATTTTAAGTTAGTATCGGAACTCATCTTATACATTACTCATACTGTGATTTGGCACAATTAACTCGTCTCGATAACATGGCAGCAAACATTAATACTGGTGTTGAATATGTCCAGAGCGTCAGATGGCGTCCGAGGGTAGTGCACATATTATAATACGAAAAATAATACAGAGCTGCATGAGATTCATCGAGTATACATATTATAAATAATAATATTTAATCATCAACGTTCGTGCATACGTACGTACAAACTACGGTCAAATCCAACACAGATACACGAAAAAATTGCTTTCCTTCAGCTCAAACTATAATATTATCTGAGATCTTCGCCTTATAATAATTTTTTTATAAAAAAAAGAAATGCGTATCTTTGCCTGCGGTCCCGAGACGGGGTCCATTATATTGCTTGTCGAGTTCAATAAATTGACTTAAACCTACGCCGATGAGCAGATCGCCGTAAAACAAACACGAATACTGATCATTCTCACGGTCCGGCAAGACGCGACCCTCACTCCGACAGTACGTAGGAACTATTAAGAGAAAACAAATCAAAAAGCTGCTTCAACCTAACCTCTTTAGGCGGGCGGGGGGC